AATTCAGGGTCAAATTACCTCTACCCAGCAGACCAGGCACAATGCCAAGATGCCAAATGCCTGGGTGAATTATAAGGGAATTTATGATATTCTGTGAGATATCACAACAGGGCTGGAGGTCACTAAGTACTTCTCCTGAACCCTCTGGTTTCCACTGCCATCCCGGTATTGATGAAATCACTTTTATGTTGTTTTTATTTGTTTCTATGTGCCCATGTTCTCCCTCCTTAGCCCCTCTACATTTCATGCCCCCCCCCATTAGAATGCAAGTTCCTTGAAATCGAGGATATTTTTTTCTATCCCTAGTGCCTATCAGAGTGCCTGGCTTAGAGTCTATACTTAATAAAAGCTCATTGCGTAAATAAATCAGTGCTCATCCTTACCATCATAAAAATGGGGTTTCATATCCAAATGTGCTCTGAAGTGTTTATTCCTTCAATCCTATTTTTTGTGCAATTTTAATTTTCCTTAAGTCAGAAGTGTTCATTGGAACCGTTAAGCCTCTTCCAATGTGAAAAGGTGTTTGTGAGATCAGCAGCTTTTCCCACTCCTTTGGAAAATGTGCTAAGCAATCTTTCCTCAAAATAGATCAAGTGTCAAACACGGGCCTCATCTGTAACCTCAGGACTATACTGATCAGAGTCAAGTTCAGTGAAATTTGAGTAGTACCAAAGCCAAAGCCTGATGAAAGCTTAATATGACAGATAATTGAGGACTTCCCAGGGTTTCAATATGCACTACTTAAACCTATAGAGGCAGATATGGGATAATTAGGTTTAGTATAATTTTAGTGGTGACTCTGAAGGTTTTTTATAAGACTGTGGGAGGAGATGGAACCTACTACAAGAGACTAAGCTTTTCTAAAGAACTAACCTTTCACAATGGATATCTGGTTGGAGTTCTGTCTTCTAGTATGCATTTCAAGTGAAGACATTCTTACAGCCATCAGCTAAATTGTGTACCCTCATATACAAAACAAATAAAGGCAATTGCCGAAGTATCCAGCAATAATTTCTCATTATGGAAAAGGCATGTTTTCAATAATGCGATTAATATGATCCTTTTTTCCTATTCAGAGTTATTAATCAGCCCCAGGAGGCAGTAGGTAAGGCATCAAAGCATCATTTCCTGCCCTGTCAGTGCTTCATCTTATGGAAGTGATCTTGGGTTCTTTTTTTCAGAAGAATTTAAGCTCTAGAAGGTTTATCAAAATGAAAAAATTTCTACAGATATGGCAAAGGACCGTATGTCAATCATCCAAGGACCTAGCAAAGTTTATTGTCACAATGTTGGTCACAAGGTACTGAATTTATTTTGGCCACAGTAATTTATGAAGGCAATTTACTAAAGCATAATGGGATTGTGATCTGCATTAAGAGAGGGAATACTTGTGCTAATGGAAACACAAGTCCTCAATGTACTGGAGAGCATGACAGAATTTTCTTAGTTAGGTTTAACAAGTATTTTCCATTTGTCCTTACAGTTCTGACATGAAAGTAGGAGCTATCAGATCCATATAATCAACAGAAAAACTAAGGTAAGGAGTTGAAATAGCTTTCCCCAGGACACAGAAGCCTCTCAAACCATGTTTTATGAAATAATTCATGAGTCATTTAAAAGACCTTTGTAAACTTTTGATCACATCCTCTTTCTCCCTTTTCCTCCCACCGTTTTTTAGAAGACAACCCTCAGATTTATTTCTAGAAGGGAGTATGAATTTTACACTCTCTAATACATGATGGATTTAGAACTCATATTTCCTGGGCTACTAAATCCAGAAAGTCGACATTCCTAATCAGATGTCATCTAATCATAATCTTATATGCTTGCTGTTTCTTATTTGTAATAGGTATAAGAGAGCCTTTTTTTTTTTAAAGCAATTGGGGCTAAGTGACTTGCCCAGGGTCACACAGTTACTAATGTCAAGTGTTTGGTCTGAGGCTGGATTTGAACTCAGATCCTCCTGACTTCAGGGCCAGTGCTCTATCCATGTAGCTGCTCCGGGATAAGAGAGTTTTGCCCACTTATCTTCAAGCAGATGATAGTCCTCAACAATTCCTGATCATATGTAATTCTTTCCTTTTTCATTTGCCTCTTGATTCTCTTTTCTACTCCTTCCCTCTAACTCCGTCTTTTTTCTTTCTCTTCTTTTTCCCTTTGTTTTTCCTATTGCCACTTTCCATGTCTTCCCCCTCTGTCATTCTTCCTTTACTTTGCCCCTTTCTCTCATGCCAGGAGCACCCACAGATAGTTTTAACTCTGTTTGCAGAAGAAATAAAAGTTGTCTAAGCCAAATAAATAAACAAATATGTACATAAAATGAAGACAAGAAGATCGGTTCAGATAAATTAGTAATTAGAAAGTAGTAATTAGTAACAATTATGGTGAAATATTCTGCTTCTAAAACACAAAGTCATTGTGGTCTAGTGTAGATGCTTCACCTAACACAAAGTTATTTTAGCACTACTTAGATCAGTATGCTAAAATTTACCAGCTTGTTCTTTTCCTAGGCTACATGATCAATTAAAGAAGTATTTTTGCCTCTGACCCGTGGTTATCTGTAAGTCTGGCACTATCATCTTTGGGAATGCCATCTATGTAGTCAAACCAGATATTAGCAAAATATTCAACAAAGTCTCTCAAGGCACTGGCATTACACAAACAAAAGCATTATGCTTGTGAAAAAGATGGAAAGAAGTAGGCAAGATGCTGATATGGTTAGGTGGGTTCAGAACCCGGTGAATGGTTGCTGACTCAAAAAACACTAATTTCTACAACAATTTCAAGAAATTCTTTAGGGGAGGGCCCCATGGATCTGTCCTTGGCCCTGTTCAATTTAATATCAGTAGCTTGGATAAAGACATAAACCTTGTGATTATCAAATTTCAAGATGGCACAACACTGGGAGGGATAAATTGAGTGACAAAGTCAAAACTCCAAATGAGCTTAGGCTAAATCACTACTTTGAATCAAGTAAGGTGACATTTAATAGAGGTAAGTGTAAAGTCTTAATTTGAGTGCAACCAATTAATTTCACAAGCATACTACAGGGAAGGTGTGGCTTGAGGCAGTTCATCTAAAAATATATGGAATTGCAATATGTCACAGTAGAAAAAATTCTGGCTCTAGATCAGAGAATCTGAGTTCATATCCCATTTCTGATACTCCCTATGTGACTTTGAGCAGGTCACATAGTCTTTCTAGGCTTCACATTCCTCATCTGTCAAATGACTGGCTTAGATTAGAGGGCCTCTAAGGTCTGTTGTAACTCTAAATCTATGATCTTTGTGTACTTTGTAGGCTGCAAGCTCAGTAAGAGTTAATATGTGATATGGAAATCAAAAAAGCTATGACAATCTTAGGTTGCATTGATAGGCATAGTGTTCAAGACTAGGAAGGTGATCATTTCACTGCACTCCCTGCTCCCCAACCTCACCAAATCCTGAGAGCAACCTTATTCAGATTGGTCATAGGATTTGGAGGAAAAACCTGGAGAAAGTCTTTTTCTTTAATAAATGTTAGAAGATCCAATCATATTTTTTTAAAAAAGAAGGCATTTCCCTGGTTTTAATTGATCCAAAAAGCATTTATTAAACACACCTACTATGTACAATGCTTGAGGAAAATACAAAGTTTAGATAAGACATGGTTACTACCCTCATGGAACTTATTATCTAACAGGAGATTGAGATACAAACAGGGATAACAATAATAAATAGTATTATATTCTGTATAATACTGAATTAGGGAGCTCAAAAAACAGAATGCTGTGTGAATTGTGAGCAGTAAGGTCATTACCAATAGGATGATTAAGGGAGGGTTCATGGAAGTGGCTTTTGAATTGGGTTTTTAAGGAAGTATAGAACTTGAGTGTTTAAAGAGTGTTTAATGTTTTTTTAACTGGTATGTACCCTTTCTCATCATTGAACAGTGAGCTCATTTTTTTTAAATGGTCTGCTCCTGTGATTTCATCACAGTATGGAAAACTCCTGACATGTAAACTTCCTTCACTAGTGTATATTGGCAACTAATCTACATTTTTCTTTTAGAGAACTGACTGGAGCCCCAAGGGGTTAAGCAGCTCCACGTACTATATCATGTATTAGAGGTAGGGCTTGAACCTTAGTCATTCTGACTGCAAGTTGGTCCTTTATCCACTGAACAATGGTACTTCTAGAGTTCATCATTGACTAAAACATGTTATTCTCTCTCATATGTCTGGAACTCCATCACACTACGTACCCTCCCTTTAGTTTTGTGTTGTGGGAACCATATGTCATCCGAGTAGGGGTCTCTTTATAAAGTCAGCAAGTAATTAGCTATTATCTTATTTAAAAAGCATAGCCTGTACAGTCCTTTTCACTCAGCCTTCCTCTCACACTGTCCAGAACTACTAGGGTATAGAAATAGGTAATACTTGAGAAGCTAACATCCCACTGGAGAGGGATTAGGCATTTAAAATTCAATAATGGACTTGTGATACATGGCTTTCCAAGACCCATGAGAAAATGGCTTTTCAAAAATTCTGGGATAAGAAACTTACTAGAAGTAATGAAATGCAGAATGCAATTCTAAGATGAAGCCAAAAACTACAAAGAGAGCAAGTTGGAGGGTAGTGTTCTGCACCTAGGAAAAGGAGTTAACCTGATGGGCCTATAGTTTGAGGAAAAGCTAAGGAATATTTCCCCCCATGGGATCAGGGAGAAATTAGGCATTTTCTTGGTGCTATATGAGGAAACTTGAATTTGGTGACCCAAGGAAGATGTTGCCATTGGGTCATTATCACAGGAATTTGGGAATCAGATTTGGTTTGGAAAGCCCTTTCTTTGCTTGAACTAGCTTTCTGTGGAGGGTGTGAATCTCTGTCTACACTCCTTACTTCATTCTTGTAAGAAGTGAAGAAATTCCTCCCAGGGTTAGCATTCCACCCGTCCAAAACTCTCCTTTTCAGAACTCGTAGCTGTATATTTGCCCCTAATATATTTCTACTTGCTGCTCACCTTGTGCAGTTTCCACATGGCCCCTAGAGGTTTGACTTCATGCTTGCCGTGTCTGCCCTCCTCCAGACACTGGTAGCAGACAGGGGTGCGACAGCTCACACAGTACATACTGTAGTTCTCCAGCTCATGATCCGTACACGTGGGAAACTTACGGACCCCGGTACTCCCTGCTGCTCCCGCCCCAGGGCCTGGGCTTTTGCTGCTGCTGCCGCCGCTGCCGCTGGGGGCTCCTTGGGTAGTACCTAGAGGTGCAGAGGCCGCTGGCTGTGGCGGCGGCGGTTGCACCAAGCGGTGCTTGGCAAACGGTCCTCTGGACGGATGGCATTTGGTCTGGCAGGCAGAGCAATAGAGTACATCGCATTGCTCACAGAGCGTAGCTGCTGGCTCCGGAGGGGTGCGGTCGCAGAGCTGGCAATGGGCAACTACAGCTGCTGCGGTTGCTCCAGTCCCAGAACCCCGGCTCTGTTGATAGCGATGTACAATGGCCTCCAGCAGCCGATTGCGCTGGAAGCCACGGAGGCCGCGGTGGTCCAAAGAGGCGCTACGGTGGCATTGAGGGCAGGTGATGGAGCTGGAGGAAGAAGAGGACAGGGAGGAACAGGCGGCTCCCCGGGCAGCGGCGGCTGAGGAACCTGGGGGTGCGGGCACCATGGGTAGTACTCGCACTCCATTAGGGGACTTAAGGCTGGGAGTGTAGGAGCCATAACCGCTGTCCGTCTCGCTGTGCAGGCTCAGCTTGTCAGCATGATCCCCTCCCCCAACTACACCACCTACACCGCCGCCGCCGCCGCCGCCACTACTGCTGGTGCCTCCACCACTACAGGCTGGTCCGGTCCCAGTTTCATATTCTGGTGGAGGACCTGCAATTGAGCCTGTAGGCAACGACGGGCCCCGAGTATGCAAGAGAGGCGGAGGCAGGTGTTGCTCGCTGTCGGGAGTCTGTACAGCTATGGTGCGGGCACAAGGCAAGCAGACATTGTGGGAACAGGGCAAGATGATGGGCTCTCGGAACAGGGACCCACACACTGGGCACTTCAGCTCCTCTTCCATCGCGGCTCGGGCGGTGTCGGTTGCTCAGAGGCTGGCGGGAAGGCTTGAAGCCCTGGGAGTTGAGGGGGGCGAGATAGTGATTAGCACGGTGTAGCTACGAAGGTAACTGACATCAAAGAGGCATGGTTTCCCGCCCCGCCCCCACTTTGTGGTGCACACTTCTTTCTATTCTTTTTCTGTGACCGCCCTTACGCTTAGGGCTCCTGCACCCGGCTACTTTCAGTCCCACTGCCCAGGCCTGGAGTGAGTTCCTCGATGTTCTCGGGGTAAAAGCCTCCAAGTAATATGTGATGAATCAGCAAGAGCGCCTCCGTGAGTTGCAGAGCTTGCTTTTCAACACCCGGGGTACGGGAGCAGGCAGTCTGTCTCTCCTCGCTCTCCCTCTTTTGCTGCAGCCCCTGTAGGTAGCTGTCAGGGCCCCTTCACCGAGAGGAAGTGGAAGGTATAGGGAGTTCGACTTGCCTTGAGGCAGAGCTGGATTCAGCACCAGGACCCTGTTGGACAGCGCCCTACTGGCAGAAAATGCCTCTATCCTTTGGAGATAAACGAGGCGCAGTCTGGGAGGTGGGAGGCGGGCGGAACTGCTGCTGCTGCTGCTGCTGTTCCCGACTGATAGAGAGCTGCTTGGGTGGGGATGATCCGGCTACGCCTCATAGGGTTGCTGCGGCTGCCACTGCTGTCGCCGTCAGTCCCAGGCTAGGCAGGACAAGCTACCTTGGTTTTCCACTGCTACTCCCGAAGCGCGGCTGACCTTGCTCTAGACAAGGATGGCAGCCGGCTGGCTGAGGGCGTGATCCCAGATTGCACGGGAATTCCCCCCCTTCCGCCTCCTCCTCCTCCTAGTCTAGGTGCTGGTGCATGGTGGAGTTGTAATTTTCATAGCAGAGCGTAATAGGGACGGGGGAAGGGAAGAGAGAATCTGCTTAGCAAATAAATGCTTGCTTCACACAGCCGGCAGGGTAAAGGGAAAATTTAAAGGGATTAGCGGAAATTGGATCATTATAAATTACAATCCATTATTTAGAGGGAGAACACATTTTGGAAAGAGCACCGCCCTATCCTCCCATCATCCCCACACCTCTTTTCCCTGCTTCCTCCCCAAAAATAAACAAATGAGGAAAAATAGGACTGTCAAAAATCTGTAGTTTAAAAATGTATTGGAGACACAGGTTGAGGGTTTCTTTTCAAATCTACGACGGAGTTAAAATGCTGGTCACAAAATGTCGGACAGCATTAAACCAAAGGATGACACTTTATTAAATTATTTAATATAAGACGTTTTGTCTCTCTATTATACACATCGCCTCCGAGCCATGGCCTGATAACATAGATTAGTCCTGTAAATAGCGTGGATTTCGGCGTTAAAAGGGAGGAAGTCCCAGTGACAAGTGAAATATAAAAAACCCCACTAAATTAGCTCGTACCACTGTCAAGAATTAAGCACCAAGACCATGCATCGGCTGTGGCAGAGAGGGAACCAAGGTTTCTGGAGGTGTCCAGGGAGAGCCGGGAGTAGGATTGTAAGTTTTGTGAATGGAAATTTCATCACACCCTCAAATGCAAGGCCACTCGCGGCGGGAACAGCCTACCCACGCAACCCTCGAATCTCAGTCTGCTCTGCAGATGTCTTGGATTTCTGTTTTGTGGTGCAGACAGAAGGGAAGAGATCACAAATAGGAAGCAGTCGGCCTACGGAAGTTTCCCGGTAGCATGAATCACAAATAATATTTAGATACTATTTATTTAGAAGCTACATGAACATCCAATTCTCTCCCTCCCATCGCTTCCTGGATATGCAGAAACAAAAGGCTATAAAGACAGAGTAATTGCACACAGCATTTAAATCATCAATACCTTAGTGTCAGTGGCGAAGGTGGTTGTGCTATTCCGACTCGTCAGCAGAAAAAGGAATCGGTTTCTTCAACCATCACTAAGACATTCCAGTTCTATGCCAGCCACCCCTCCCCCTTTCCCCTTTGGCTTTCCACAAGGCAGCTTGTTTAGGAGAAAAGGGGGCTCTGAGAATGAACGGGTAAAGAGCAGGTAGACGGTATCTCTCCTCAAACCTCACTTCAATGGTAAAAAAAAAAAATACCCCTGTGGATTAATTATCAAGGGTGAGACCTGACATTTGAAAGCTGTGTTTTATTCATTGCTTATCTGTCTGCCCAGTTTGCTTGACACATCTGCTATAGAAAGAGAAATGGTGGGAGATGCCTTCAGTGGACTTTATACAATTAAATTCAACAAAGGTGAATCTAAGCTGTATTCAGAATAAAGTGCTAGGCTAGGTGCTAGGGGAGAGGGGAGATGGAGAAGTAGAGATGAATTTAATTAAGACAGCATATAAGCAAATATCTCTGTGTCCTTACATTGCTTTCTTCACATTCCTGGAATATTCTCCCTCCTTACCTTGGAGTTACTCTTGGAATCTATAGTTTCTTTTAGGACTTGATTCAAGTACCGTCTTCTGTGAGAAGCCTTTCACAGTCCTGCCCGGTACTAATGTTTTCCCCCTAAGGCTACCTTGTGTCCACATTGTATATATGTTGTAAATACCTATGTATGTACACATTGATTTCCCTGTTAAAATGTGAGTCCCTTGAAGTCAGGAACTTTTTTTTTCCTTTGCATCTTCAGCACTTAGCATAGTGTGTGGCATATTGTTGGTGATTTACAAATGCCCCTCATTTATTCTATTCTTTCTTTTGACCCTGTCCCTCCTCAGAAGTGTTTGCTTTTGATTACCTCCTCTCCCAATCTGCCCTCCCCTCTATCATCTCCCTGCTCTCTTGTCCCCTTCCCTCACTATTTTCCTGTAGGGTAAGATAGATTTTCCATACCCAATGGAGTGTGCATGTTATTCCCTCCTTAAGCCAAATCTGATGAGAATAAGATTCACTCATTCTCTCTCACCTTCCCCCATTTCCCCTCAGCTGTAAGAGCCTTTTCTTTTCTGTTTTTTGTGAGATAATTTACCCTATTCTACCTCTCCCTTTTTCCTCCTGGTATAATCCTCTCTCACCACTTAATTTTATTCCTAATAATTATTTTCTCAGATATCACCCCCTTCATCTTCAACTCACCCTGTGCCTTCTATCTATCTATATGTACATACATAATTTTTTTCCTCCAACTACCTTAATACTGACAAAAGTCTCATGAGTTGCAAATATCATCTTTCCATGCAGGAATGTAAACAGTTAAACCTTAATAAGTCTCTTATGATTTCTCTTTCCTGTTTACCTCTTCATGTTCCACTTGAGTCTTGTATCTGAAAGTCAAATTTTCTATTCAGCTCTGGTCTTTTCATCAAGAATGCTTGAAAGTCCTCTATTTCACTGAATGACCATTTTTTCCCTTAAAGATTATACTCAGTTTTGCTGGGTAGGTAATTCTTGGTTGTAATCCTATCTCCTTTGCCCTCCAGAATATTATATTCCATGCCCTGCGGTCCTTAATGTAGAAGCTGCTAAATCTTGTGTTATCCTGATTGTGTTTCCACATACTTGAATTGTTTCTTTCTGGCTGCTTGCAATATTTTCTCCTTGACCTGGGAACTCTGGAATTTGGCTACAATATTCCTAGGAGTTTTCCTTTGGGGATCTCTTTCAGGAGGAGATCTGGATTCTTTCAATTTCTATTTTGCCCTCTGGTTCTAAAATATCAGGGCAGTTTTCCTTGATAATTTCTTGAAAGATGATGTCTAGGCTCTTTTTTTGATCATGGCTTTCAGATAGTCCAATAATTTTTAAATTCTCTCTCCTGGATCTATTTTCCAGGTCAGTTGTTTTTCCAATGAGATATTTCACATTGTTTTCTATTTTTCATTCTTTTGGATTTGTTTTACAGTGTCTTGATTTCTCATAAAGTCACTAGCTTCCAATTGCTCATTCTAATTTTTAAGGAAGTTTTCTTCAGTAAGCTTTTGGACTTCCTTTTCCATTTGGCCAATTTTGCTTTTTAGGGCATTCTTCTCCTCATTGGCTTTTTGGACCTCTTTTGCCATTTGGGTTAGGCTATTTTTTAAGGTGTTATTTTCTTCAGTTTTTTTGGGTCTCCTTTATAAAGCTGTTGACTTGTTTTTCATGATTTTCTTGCATCACTCTCATTTCTCTTCCCAGTTTTTCCTCTACTTCTCTTACTTTCTTCTCAAAATCCTTTTGAGCTCTTCCAGGCCTGGGACTGATTCATATTTTTCTTGGAGGCTTTAGATGTAGGAGCTTTGACTTTGTTGTCTTCTTCTGGTTGTATGTTTTGATCTTCTTTGTTACCAAAAAAAGATTCTAAGGTCTGACTCTTTTTGTGAGGTTTGGCCATGATCCCAGCCAATTCCTTGAGTTATAAACTTTTGGTTAAGGTAGAGGTCGGCTTCCAGTGTGGGAAATGTACTGTCCAAGCTTCAGTGTTTTGTGCAGCTGTTTTCAGAGATACTTCTAGGGACCTGTAAATTTTCAGTTCTTCCAAGATGGTACAATCAAGGGTGAGGTGTTTACTCCTTTCCTGGACTGTGCTCTGGTCTATTAGTGACCACAAGCACTCCTTTCTGTCCTTGAACTGTGAGGAGGATTTTCTCTCCACAGCCATTACAAGCTCCACCACACCACTGCTCTTTCTCACCCCAGGACCACCCGTCAGAACTGTGACCCAGATCCAAACACAGGCAAAGCAATAGATTCCTGCCTCAGCACTGGCAAAGAGATCCCTGCAATCCCTTCTCTGATCAGCCCCCTGATTCCCCCTCAGTCTGTGGGCTAGCTCAGGAGGCAGCTGCCACCCCAGGGACTTGGGGACTGGAGCTGAAACCACATTTTCTTCTTTCTCTCACTGCAGAAACAGACTTTTCCACTGACATTCTAAGTTGTCTTTGGCATTCATGGGTTGAGAAGTCTGGAAACCACCACAGCTCCTTGAGGCCTGCTCCAGGTTTGCTGCAGCCTGCATGCCCACACTGCTCCTCTCCTAGGCTGGTGTGATACACCTTTTCAATCAACCATCCA